TGCTCTCTGCTACTCACAGCAAACTGTTTTAGAAATCCATTGCTGCTAACATAGGAGACTTATTCTACAGTTCTGGGAGAATCAAGATCCTCTGCCAGACTGCAACAGCCCAAAATGCTTTTATGAACTACTGGATAAATCTGAACAGTACTTCAGTCAACCAGAACTCGAGAAGCAAGTTTCATTCAGGGTAGATGGCAGGGTGGTGGGCAATGGAGAGACTAAAGCAGCAGAGATTCCTTATTTGCTTGCTTGTTGCAAATCACTTTTGCAAACTACAGGCTTGTGCCAAGTCTGTAAGGGAGTGAGTCAAATTTACTTCAAAACCTCAGACAGATTGAGATTATAGCTTCACAAAGGACTTAAACACGTAGTAAACCAACAGTCTATGTTATTTTAATTCAGACTGAATTAAAAGGCCATTTAAAATCCTGTATAGATAACAGCAGTTTCCAAGTTCACACATTCACTGAATTTCTTTACATCAACAAAATTACTTCAGATTAGCCCTAGGAAAACTTGTGTAATGAAGTAGCAACTACCATTATTTAGATATCCCAACATCTTTATACACAGATACATATCTTCATTTAGGACATTCACCCTGATTTCCCAAAGCCCAATCCTGATAGAGGGCCATCCTACAGTAGAACTGGGGAACAGATTCAGAGATGTAAACCTTAATGTTCCAGCTATTCAAATGCAGTGCTAAATTTATTACGGATTGCCTACTGATGCCTATGTTACTTCATATATCCAAAGAGGATTTTTTACAGAAAGGAAAGTATGAAGCCATACTTTCAGATCTTCTATTTTAAAGATATTTCTTCATTGTCATTTATTTTGTAAGTGACCATTTTGCAAAGACTGTACTGGCTATACATTTATGTTTCTTACTTAGTTACAAGTATAACCACAAGCATGAATTCTATTCACTGTATTTGTGAAGAGAAAAGCAGAATTCTAAGGCAGGGTATGGGACGGACATGCATTGCACATCTATGCATGCCCAAAATGCAATGGAATGTAAAAAAAAAAAAAGAAAAAGAAAAAGAAAAAAACCCAGTACCGTAGTTCTTTTGTGTGTGTTTTTTTTGTAAATTCCCTGAGTGAATTAGCTATGTTACAATACTGTTCTTCAAATCATAAAACCAAATACAGAAGAGAGCATGAAGATGACTGACTGAAAACAAGTGGAGACAGGAACTGATCGTGTTTGCCAGTGACAGAAGCTGACATTTATTAACAAATACGAGGACAGGTGGGAATAGGAACACAAGAAAAGCAACTTTTAATCCACTAAAATCCAGTATTTAAACCCATGGATAGAAAGAGCAAAGGGAAGGAAAGAGAGAGTGTGAACCATGCTGAGCAAGAGTTTTTGCAGCCATACTGTATAGAGAACATAAATACAAGGGTACTGCATTAACTCAGAGCACTTTAAACTGAGAGAGTGAAAAGAACAGCAAGCTCTTTCTGCATGACATGTAAACTGAGCCTGGGAAAAGGGCCTACAGGAATCTACGTAAACCAAACCCAAGCCCAAACAACCATATTTGCTCTCAGATTACAAGCTTGAGTGAGCATCTCAACAGTGACGCTATTCATTCACAAGCTATCAAGAAGCACGGCTGCAGTACTGGGGATAGCTGAGCTATCACTATGGAAGCACTTTAACACATAAACAAGGTCTTGTAACGTAGTTTTCTAGATGCGTTTTTACTTTTCCCTCCTGATGGAGTCTTACGCGCTTTTCACTGTAGTGTATCAGCATTTAGATCACCTACTGTAACATTCAGTAACTGAACTGCTAATAAAGTTGGACTGTGATTTAAGAGAAAGTAATGTTTGTAAATTATAGAACTATATTCAAAATAAGATCATTGACCTTCTATTCTAGACCTTGAGCTCCTGCTTGTTCCTTCTTGCAAACTTGTTTTAACCGACTATCCTCTCGACCATCTCAATTTTTAAGATCCCCATCCCCTGCACACGCACATACACACACATGCAGTGTGAGCTAGCTTTCAAGGCACTCTCAGAATACGTGTCCAATATTTTTAGATTTTTCATCTGAGATCTTTCCTCAAAAGTTAACCCAACTCAGACTAAACAAAGTTTAGCAGTGTGTCCAGATGGCCAAGAATGCCAACTGCATCCTGGCCTTTATCAGGAATAGTGTTGTCAGCAGGAGCAGG